AAGAGAGAAATAGATAAAGAGAATGAGAAAGGCAAAGAAGCGACTACCAAGTCTGACATAGCGTGAGAGGAGTAAAACGATGATCTCGTTCTACGATTGTGTACGCCGAGTCGTGCCTGTCGCGACGTTCCAGAAGGCTAATAGAGAGACTGACAGATCGACAGCGGAGAGCAGAAATCCACGGGAGGTGAGCGACACGAGATCACGAGGAGTGAGTTGCGAAGTTAGAATTGCGGGGGTAGCAATGACAATGGTGGTGGGTGGCGTGGCATATAAGTAGCTAGTATATAAGTAGCTAGTACAGCTCAGAGAGTGACTCATACGCTTTACTTATCGTACGGCTACGCAAGTTGAAGTTTCGCGACTGCAGAGCGACAGGAGGCAGCCTAGAGAAGTGGGAAGAGAAGTGTGATGACGTGATGAATAGTCGATGGATAGATCACAGCGGGGAAAGAGATTTTTAACTCTTGAGTGGCATTACGAGGTCACGATCGAACGTTTGTATATAATTTTCTTTGTAATCAAAACGTATCTCGCGTAAATTCTTGCAAATATATTCTTTCCCTTCCTCGACCTTCGAGAAAAAGTTCTCTGTTCTGGTCTTGTATCCCATGCGATGTTTTAACTCGGGATATGTTTTAATCTTTCTCTTCTTTATTTTACTCGTTAGCAACGATTAGCTTATCTCTAAGACAAAAAGAGGATGCCAGTCAAGAGCTGAAGGGGATAAAAGAGTGGAGCGGGTAAGAAGGTAACAAGATGAGAAATTAGGAATGAGAGAAAGACAGAGAGTCAGACGGACAGAATAGAAAGAGAAAGAAAGAGAGAAAGGTGGAAAGAGACGGTGCTGGAAAGTAAGAGATCATTTCCTTGGTTCAGAGCCCTTCGGTGCAGTTTACACTTTCACGTACTTTTACCACTACCAATGCAGTACTAAACTCGTAAATTCGAGGTGCACTAGCACCCCGATCGAAGATCAGAGACTCTGCGTAGGAGAAAGTTTACAGATTGAGATCGAGCGTGATAGCATTCGTGGTTGTCACATTCACACACGCACGCACAAGCTTCTTCTTCGCGTTCTCCAGTGGCGGATCGCGGAGCTAACGGAAGAAAGATAACCGCCGAAGCGAAGCTATTAGATCACATCCGGAGCGATGATGAGCCATGAGCTGCGAGTATGAGTGAATTCACTTGTCAAATATAATATCGATACGACAATTCACCGAGCAAATATCCTTACTGTCTGTTTAAGATCCGAGGAATAAGCCATTTCTTCCGTAAATATGAAGCGATATTTGAAGTTGAAACTTGATATTGAGGGTAAGAAGATCCGCGATGTAAAACTTGAGAGAAAAAAAATGTCAAAAAATAAAAAATCTTCCATTTGACTTGACAAGTGAATTCGCTTTTAGTTGATCATTCACGGTTCATGGCTTATCATTTATCGCTCTACGTCTACGTGGTGCGATCTTGAAGGGTGACAGGTTAGAGGGCTCGTTTCTCACGCTAAGAAGCATACGCGTTGCTCGCAGAGACTTGGCGGAGCGATAAAGTATCGCCGCTTTTCAATGGGAAAGCTCTTGTCCATTTAAGCATATTCGCTTTTAAAATTCTTCGCCGCGAGCAAACACACACGTTTTCTCCAAAGGCTCGCACACGTATAATCAGATATTACGCGAAGGTAAATCCTGCCATTTTGTAATGACTGGAGCGATAGCCAGATCAATGTAATTTTTTTGTAATAATAAACGACAAGAGATTATAATAATTATTATTTAAATTCCATTTTTTTCTCCTTCACTGGTGGACATAAAAATTTACTAAAAAATAAATTTATTAATTACACGTCGCCATTATTTTCATTGTACGCATTGCACGCAAAAAGATATTATGGCGACACGTTTAAAAAAAAAGGAGATAAATAAATTGTTATATCTCTTTGTATTAACAAAGATCTCAAATCAAATATTTCAAATCGAATTTAATCAACTGATAAATTGATGCCGTTGGCTCTGTTATCAGATGTGAGCGAGCTTTTGGTAAGTCGATTATCATAATGCTCGTCTGTTTCGTGTGTGTCATATCTATGCGCGTAACTATTCGAGCAAACCTGTACGCACTGCGTTGCATAATTTGAGTTTCATGCAGCGAATAATTCACGTGTCACCGAATTGTACGGTACTACAAAAGAACCGTTATCGATCTCCATTAAATATCACAGTCGGCCTGCTCTACGTTAAGCGTTAAATGCGTTTTCCGGTTTGCGGTCCATATTCGATAAGTGCCATAATCATCTTTACGCGCGCCGAGACGCAATGCGTACAAGATCGGCGTTTCCGCGCGATATCGCGAAGTGCCACGCGGAATCGGTTTTCGCGGGAACTCGCAGCCTCGTTACGACGAGTCGTATAATCCTAAGCCCCCGTATTCATATCCCATATTTATTATTACGATCACCTGACTCCCAGCCCAGTATACGATCCAGGTATATGACCTCCCGTATTAGACGATAAAATTCGGAACGAGACGGATTTATCGTTATATCAATATATGGGATATGGATGCGGATCTTTAAAAGTCTCCAGCTGGAGAGACTGGCGTAGATTCCTTTCCTTCGATCTCGTTGACAATCCGCGAACGGCGAGTGCGATCGAACGAGCTCATAATTGACCGAACGTCAGAAAATTTCATACGCAACGATAAATAAACGATGCGGTACGCGTAAAGCGTTTAAACGCGCACGCACGCCCGTCGCCGTCTCGTGGCCGTAATTAAGAATGACGTATCGCGGTTTAATTGTCTGTCACGCGATTTATTTCCCACAGAAGCGCACGGTCGCTTGTAAAACGAGCTGTATTGTGTACGTATGCATGTAAACGAGTGTATATGTGTACAATGTTCCGTAGCTCACCATTTCACTTTTTGATTCATTAACATCGCATTCGCAATCGACGACGCTTTTGGCGTCGTTCTTATTCTACCCGCGCCGCGCTTACATTTTTCTTACACTTTCGAAATTTGAAACTTTGTCTCTGAGATTTATCGCGGTTATTTGCGGTAAACTGCAATGTGCGGAAACGTGTTCTGGAAGAAAACTGGTAAGGAGCGAGTTGCGATCGAGCCAAGTACCGCCCTTTCCATTGGCCAAATTTACAGTTTTATCGCTGGGCAACCATTAGGAGGATAATCCTTTCAGCTTTTCGTATTGTCGGCCAATAATTTTCGACTCTCTGCAGAACTAAGGCATCGAAATATTCGGTACGGTTCAAAAAAAAAGCAAAAATATTAATTTCACAACACAGCGACTGCTGTTTATCGATTAATAATTTCCTCTAGTGGCCAACAATTGAATGCAACACATAATAACGAAATATGTGATATCTAATTATATCTTCGTTACGTTTGTTGAATTATAGACGCGAATTTATGTCGCCGTAATGCTCGGCGGTGTATATCAATCACCCTATTTGCATTCAATCCCGCGAGTTCACATATATATCCCGGCTAGTTGGCTTTGCTGTAGCCATCATGGAAATTACATGACGTTAGCGTGTACAATAATTGCGTTTGAGTAAAATAATCGCGTCAATTTTCCAATTTGTAAAAACGCCTACGGCTTGTCGGAATACAGATTTTGAAATAAAATGAGGAAAACTGCGGATGACGGACGACTTGTAATATTTTCTGTCTTTTTTTCTTCCACCAAAAAACATACAAGATACATAAAAATGTAAAATAATTATAATAAAAATTGCCTAAACTCGACAATAAGATAAAACTATAAAGTCCAATGCACTGCAAGTCTGGTATATTTTCAAAACTTTTATTGTTAATCTAAAAACTACGTTTCAATGTAGACTTTTTACAATCTAAACTGAAAACGATATCATGACTAAATGCGATTTAGTTTGCAATGTTGTTATTGCCGACATGCAAATTTCGATGGGCGATACGAGTTTGTCATGCGCATTGCCAAAATCGACGTAATCATCGCAGAAATTAGATTGAGGCCAAACAGATATAACGTTCTTTCGAGGCTAAATCACGAGAGAGAGAGCTCGTGATAGGCGCATTAATTAATTTCGATGACGCGATGTGAATCAGATCGTTCGCTTATCCGTCCTAAACTTGTGAATGTCCACAAACGTCCGCCATTAAGTGACAAAAGCGATCCTTTAATAATTATATAATATCATAATAAATGTATTGGATTTAGTTATTTTATTTCTGAGTGCGTTGCATTGATAGCGCGATGATCATATAATATTAAATAAATTACGTTGCCTCTTTGTCGATATTAGATATTCTATCGACCATTAGTCTCGACAAAGGCACGTTTTGCGGTCGTGCGGCTTGTCGTGATGCTTGTCGTCATCGTTGTTGTTGCTGCTACGAATAAAAAGGATAGGCGCGATGGGAGTTCGGGAAACATTGTGCACAAAATTCAATCCGATACTACTAATTCAATTCGCTCGAATATTCGTTCGTACGAATATACGCAATTTTTTCATCCTATCAGCAAACTGTAATTTCTTTCTTCCCGTTCCATTTTGTTTTTCGACGAATTTATTACGGAGAATGTATGAATAATTTTTCAGTCATAAATAATTAAAAATAAAATGTTTTCTTTATATAATATTGTAAAAAAAAAATGCGAATACTTACGAAGAGCAATTAAACAACGAACGACGCTTTATCGTTATTCGTTTGTATCCGAGCGAGCTTTTCTCTTCTAAAATTTTAGAAACTAAATTTTTAGTTCAGCTATTATTTAACGTTAAATTTTGAAAGTGCCCGACATTCTCCCAATTTGGATATATGGTTGTTGATGTAATTGAAGATAAAACGATTCTAAAATTCTATTTCAATTTAATTTCCAATAAAATCAAGCCAGATAAGCGGTTCGACAGAAATTTGAAATTTGATATCCGTAAATTACATACGTTGTAACATACGTACGTCCTGTTTTTCTGCGCAATGTTAAGCTCACGCCGTGTCGCATTAACTCGATTATCGTGCTCGCGTGTGTTGTCGGTACCCGTCGCTTGTACTTGTTTTTGCGAAATTGGATTTCGACGATGCGGCAATGATACAAATGTTTTCGCAACGCGCCGATAATGAAATGGTCATCTATATATTTCGCCATCGTCAACGCGATTAAATTAAACATCATGCGTATTCTTTTTT